ACTCTTAATAAATTGCAGCTGTCATGTAAGAAAAGCACAAAGGGATCTCTGATATTACAAGGACCATAGATGATTTATTTAATATGAAGGTTAAAGTTTAGAAATAATTTCTTAAAATGTTCCACTAAGTCGCATCAGCATGTACCGTTACAAAATGCACTAAAGGGGAGTATTAAGTGGTAAGAAACACTTGCAGGTAACATTAGCGATAGCTGTATTATCTGAATGTATTATGACAACAAATCCGTGCAGTGTTGGTCATTATTTTAAACTGTTTTTGACTGTAGATGCAAGAGATAAATGAAGCTCTACGCGACTCACAAACTATTTAAATGTCATCAAAATAAAGTTTCATGCATTTGTAAATAGCGCTGTTGCCAAAAATATTTTACTGCATAACGTGTGAAAAATCTATACATGGAAATGTCATTGGGTAAATTACATCTATTTGGAGAAACTGAAATCAGAGCATTTGGGGTAACAAATACAAGTAAGTCAGTAGCCTGAATTACATACAAAGCTGTTATTTGTTATAATTGGTCATACACAATTAAAAATCACACAAAAATTAAAGTGTCACATTACAGTGACTGACAGACAAAGCATGGAAGTGTATATTTTATTTGATATTGATCATTTCTGGATGAGTTTTCCCACAACTAACCACCAACACACTTCTGGTAGGTGATGAAGGTGACTTGCCCAAGAACACATAGCTCCCTCAGGGTTTGATGCTCTGCCACAGGCTTGCCGTTGCAGGCGAGCTCCAGGCTCAGTCCTGGCATAGGGCCCTCCTTCAGCTTCTCTTTCACCTTCCCGACGGTGTCGGCCTCCAGGAGCTGCAGCTTGACCGTTCTGCCGTTGGACCCATCAAAGACGGACACGGAGATGTGGCTGGTGGTGGGATTGAGAGACACGCCCTCGTTGACGGCCTTCAGGGTGGCATGAGTGCTGCGCTGGAAGGTCTGGTCGAAGGGCGCTGGGGTGGGTGCAGGTGACTGTGTCCTCTCAGGTTTCTGGATCCCCCAGATGCTATTAAACACCTT